CGGGCCAGAGTTTGACACCTATGATTTACAGTGACAGCTCACTTTGTGTACAAGGGTTGTGGTAGATATAGGTGTGTTGAAAGAAAAAGGACACACCAACACAACAAAATAGCCTCACAAATTTTCAGTCTGTTGTTTGAAAGATACTTGTACAGTATGCTAATATTTGACTGTAACAGATCTAACAAATCATTCAGCTTCATGGAAAAAAAATGTAATTTCTACCTCCGGTTCTTTGTTTTTGCTTCCATTATTACTGTGAACTTTAAACAAATTCCATAGGCCATGCTAATGCAGACAAGTGCACAGTAAAAAGATAAATACAAAGCTTCTTTATTTTGGACGTGACCCTCCAAAATGGTAAATTGCAGTGTCATGCAACTGCATTATAGTGAATACAAATATTAAACCGGCCTTCCTGATATGTCACTGGAGCTGCAAATATTTTCAAAACTCAATATTAGTTTCCAGACTGATTTATCTTAAATAGAGCTTTTGTTTACCATTTTCCTTATCCCTATTACAAAGGCCAAAACAGCATATTTGTTCAGCCATCATATTGTGACAGAACACATTTATAATGCAATCTTATGCAACTGTGCTTTCAGTTCTTTGTGGACACACTCACTGGCTCTGGCCGGTTTGTAAGAAGTGAATTATTTCATGAAATAAAGCCAAGCCATTGCAAAAAAGAGCACTGAAGTAGCTACAGACCTTGCATTTGGCTTTCTAACATCTGGCAATGCAGCCAGACATAGTGTTAAGCCATTGGAGACACAACCCTCAGAGGAGTTTATAGATCTAAATGAATCTGACAACAAGCTGTGAAATGCTAAGAGTCAACAAATTGTTTCAACTCCACGTAATGAGAGGCACAGCCAAAATAAAGTGCTTTGGATAACGGCAAATGACACCAAGTCAAAAGTTAATTGCAAGCAAGGAAAAAGAAGAAGAAAAAAGCCAGTTTTGAATGTAAACGAAGAGTAATTTAGCTGTTTTTGAAAGATAAGAGGAAAACTGTTTCAGATTGTGGGCTCAGGCCTGGACCTGTGCTGTTCTGTTCATACTTTTAATTCCCAAGTTCTTTATAAGTTTTAACATGCTATATTCAAGCCTACATCTGTAACCACAGGAGTTTCACTGATTTGGATTTATGGAGCGCCAGTGTCATAATTATGAGTTCATTTGGTTCTGTTCGGTCTACTATTAAAAGATGTCAACTTCCAGATGTTTTTCTTTTTCTTTATTCCAGGCAGAAAAAAAGTAATAATAATCTTCTCAATTAAGCCTAAGGGCCTTTAACCCACATGTATATATTTGGGTTTTAGGTATTCCCCTGGTCTCCTATTACAATTATCATTACCTTAGCTATGGCATGGACGGGATAAAAACACTGCAAATGACCAGTTCATTGTTCAGTGTTAGACAAATATTTTTTTATTAGCATAACAAGACTGATTGTAGTCTTAGAAGCGTGATAAAAAGACTCACAAAATATCTTTAAATTAAAATATAACAATTTATTTCGTTTTTTTTTTTTAAGTAATTTCTTGATCGACCAACTATTAAGCTTTATAAACAAAGAAATTTCTATTAATATATTGTTGATCTTCAAATTAGTCATAGTATCCGTGCTACTTTGTCCTCCAGTGTGGGTCACCCAGTTGAAGTCTGTAAAAATAAAAGGAGTGGCATTGCAAGCATTCACTGCCATCGCAGTGATATCAAATGGTTTAACAACATTTCAGAGCTAAAATGGTCTCAGGGGACAGTGTGGTCCACATGGATGCTTCGCATTCATGGGAAGCAGAAGAAAGAAATTCCATAATCCGTACTCACAAACTGTAATGACTCGAGAACAATTTATTGCTATGCCACTTTTAAACCAAACATGTTTATTTTAGCCTTGCTTGACAAGTACTCCAGTCTAAGTCGCTGCACTCCGATCACATATACATCTGTGACTTGCCTATAGTAATATGAGAAACATGCTGATACGCATGCATGCTGAAACCGTTGCACTGTAGAGCGCTTTGGAAATGAAAATTATTTTTTAAATGAAATGTCCCAACAGTTTCAGTGTTGTTCTTGGAAAAGAAGATCACCCTCATGACCCCATCAGGAGTAATTAAGGGTATTATGTGGACATGAAATTGGACTCCACTGTAGCTGCTATAGTTTATTACTTGCCAAGTGATATCTTACAGATTTGTTACTGGTAAAAGGAGTAAAATTTAGATATAAATCAAAATGTATGCATGTAAAGGCCAAGGAACAGACTCTTT